TAGGCGATATGGAGGCCGAAGCACTGTTAGACAAACCGCCTGACAGGCTAGCAGAGGCGGAGGCCGAGAAGCTTGCCGAGACACTGGGTGATGTAAAGGTCGAGGCACTGGTCGACCCACTGACTGACAAACTAGCAGAGGTGGAAGTCAAGACATTCGTCGACACACTGGGCGCTGTAGAGGCCGAAGCACTGGTAGGCAAACTGCCTGACAGGCTAGCAGAGGTGGAGGCCAAGACACTTGATGACACAGTAAGCGATGTGGAGGCAAAAGCACTGGTAGACAAACCGCCTGACTGGGTAGCAAAGGCGGAGGCCGAGAAGCTTGCCGAGACACTGGGTGATGTAAAGGTCGAGGTACTGGTCGACGCACTAGCCGACAAACTAGCAGAGGTGGAAGTCGAGACACTCGTCGAGACACTGGGCGATGTAGAGGCCGAAGCACTGCTCGAAACACTGAATGACACGCTAGCAAAGGAGGAAGCTGAGACACTTGGCGAAACGTTGGGCGATAAAGAGGCCAAGGCACTAGTCGACACACTGGCTGAAAAGGTAGGAGAGGTAGAGGCCGAGACACTCGTCGACACACTGGGCAATGTGGAGGCCGGGGCACTGGTCAAAACACTTGCTGGCAGGCTAACAGAGGTGAGGGCAGAGATACTTGGAGAAACTCTGGGCGATATGGAGGCCGAGCTGCTGGACGACAAATTAACTGAAAGGCTAGCAGAGATGGAGGGCGAGAAACTTGCCGACACATTTGGTGAAGTGGAGGTCGAGGCAGTACTCGAAACATTGAATAAGACGTTAGCAGAGGTTAAAGCCGACACACTTGCAGACACTCTGGGGGAGGTGGAAGCCAAGGCACTGGTCGATACACTGGCTGACAGGCTAGCAAAGGTGGACGGAAAAACACTTGCCGACACACTGCGCGAAGTGGAGGGCGAGGCACTGGTCGACAAATCGGCTGACAGGTTAGAAAACGAAGAAGCTGAGATACTTGCCGAAACACTCGGCGGTGTGGAGGGCGAGGCACTGGTCGACACACTGGGTAAAATGTTAGCAAAGGTAAAGGCCACGAAAGTTGTCGACACATTAGGTGATGTGAAAGCCGACACAATTGTCGACGCAGTAGCTAACACGCTAGCAAAGGTGGAGGCTGAGACACTTGCCGACACACTGAGCGATGTGGAGGTCAGGGCAATGGTCGACACACTGTCTGAAACGCTGGCAGAAGAAGACGCCAAGACACTTGCCGACACACTAGGCGATGTGGAGGTCGAGGCAATGGTCGCCACACTGGCTGAAAGGGTAGCAGAGCTGGAGGCAGAGACACTTGCCGAAACAATGAACGATGTTGAGGTCAAGGATTTGGTGAACACATTAGATGACAGGCTACCAGCGGTGGAGGGCGAGACAATTGCCGCCACACTGGGCGATGTGGAGGTCAAGGCATTGGTCGACACATTGGCTGAAACGTGGGCAGAGGTGGATTCTGAGAGACTTGCCGACACCCTGGGCGATGTGGAGGCCGAGGCAGTTGTCAACACACTGGCTGACAAGCTAGCAGAGGTGGGGGACGAGACACTTGCCGACACATTAGGCGATGTTGAGGCCGAAGCACTGGTCGACACATTGGCTGCTACGTTAGGAGAGATGGAGGCGGTAACACTTGCTGACACACCAAACAATGTTGTAGCCAAAGCACTGGTCGACACAGTAGCTGAAAGGATAGCAGAGGTGGAGGCCGAGACACTTTCCGACACAGTGGGCGATATAGAGGTCGACGCACTGGTCGACACACTGGGTGACACGCTAGCAGAGGTGGAGGAAGAGACCGTTGAAGACACACTGGGCGATGTGGATGACACTATAGTAGAGGTGGAGGCCAAGGCAATTGCCGACACAATCGCTGACAAGTTAGCAGAGGTCGAGGAAGAGACCCCTGCCAAAATACTTGGTGATGTGGAAGCCAAGGCACTGGTGGTCACATTAGCTGACACGTTGGCAGAGGTAGAGGCCAGGACAGGTGCAGAAAAACTGGGCGATGTTGACGCAAAGGCACTGGTTGACACATTAGCGGAGACGTTAGCAAAGGTGAAATTTGAGAAACTTGCCGAAACACTATGCGTTCCGGAGATCGAGGCACCGGTGGAAACATTGGCTGAAACGTTAGCAGCAGTGGAGGCTGAGACACTTGCTATCACAGTGGGTGATATGGAGGCCGAGGCACTGGTCGACACATTTGCTGACACGTTAGCAGAGATGAAGGCCGAGGCAGCTGCCGACACACTGGGCGATGTGGAGGTTGATGCACTGGTTGAAAATGTGGTTGACAGGTTAGCAGACGTTGAAGCCGAGGTACTTGCCGACACATTAGGTGATGTGAAAGCCAAGGCATTGGTGGACACATTGGCAAACACGTTAGAAGAGGTTAAGGACGAGACACTTGGAGACACGTTGGGCGATGTGAAAGCCGAGGCACTAGTCGACTCATTGGGTGACACGTAAGCAGAAGTGGAGACTGAGACACTTGCCGAAAACCCTGGAGATGTTGTCGTTAAGGCACTGCTCGAGAGATTGCCTGACACGTTAGCAGAGGTGTAGGCCAAGACACTTGCCGAGACATTGGGTGATGTGGAGACCAAGGCACTGGTCGACGCACTTGCTGACACGTTAGCAGAAGCGGAGGCCGAGACACTTTCCAACAAATTTGGTGAGGTAAAACCAAGGGCACTGGTCCTCTCATTGCCTAAAACATTAGCAGCTGTGAAGTCTGAGACACTTGTCGACACACTAAGAAATGTGGAGGTTGAAACACTGGTCGACACATTTTCTAAAACGTTACGAGATGTGGAAAGTGAAACACTTCGCAACACAGTGGGCGAAGTAGAGGCAGAGGCGCTGGTCAACAGTTTAGCTGAGTTGTTAGCAGAGATGAAGGCCGAGACACTTGCCGACACACTGGGCGATGTGGAGGTCGTAGCACTGGGCGACACGCTGGCTGAAACGTTAGCAGATGTGGAAGGTTGCACACTTGCCAACACAGTAGGTGATGTGGAGGCCGAGGCGCTGGTCGACGCATTGGCTGACACGTTAGCAGAGGCGGAGGCTGAGACACTTTCGGACACATTAGGTGAGGCAGATGCGAGCACACTGGTCGTCTCATTGGCTAAAACGTTAGCAGCTGTGAAGGCCGAGAAACCTGTCGACACACTAGGAAATTTGGAGGTTGAAACACTGGTCGACACATTGTCTGAAACGTTACCAGATGTGGAGAGTGAAACACTTGCGAACACAGTGGACGATGTGGAGGCCGAGGCGCTGGTCGACAGTTTAGTTGAGTTGTTAGCAGAGTTGAAGGCCGAGACACTTGCCGACAAACTGGGTGATGTAGAGGTTGAAGCATTGGTCGACACATTGGCTGAAACGTTAGCAGATGTGGAAAGTGAAGCACTTCCCAACACAGTGGGCGAACTAGAGGCAGACGCGCTGGTCAACAGTTTAGCTGAGTTGTTAGCAGACGTGAAGGCCGAGACACTGGGCGATGTGGAGGTCGTAGCACTGGGCGACACGCTGGCTGAAACGTTAGCAGATGTGGAAGGTTGCACACTTGCCAACACAGTAGGCGATGTGGAGGCCGAGGCGCTGGTCGACAGTTTAGTTGAGTTTTTAGCAGAGTTGAAGGCCGAGACACTTCCCGACAAACTGGGTGATGTGGAGGTTGAAGCACTGGCCGACACATTGGCTGAAACGTTAGCAGATGTGGAGAGTGAAACACTTGCGAACACAGTGGGCGATGTGGAGGCCGAGGCGCTGGTCGACAGTTTAGTTGAGTTGTTAGCAGAGTTGAAGGCCGAGACACTTCCCGACAAACTGGGTGATGTGGAGGTTGAAGCACTGGTCGACACATTGGCTGAAACGTTAACAGATGTGGAGAGAGACACACTTGGCAACACAGTGGGCGATGTGGAGGCCGACGCGCTGATCAACAGATTAGCTGACACGTTAGCAGACGTGAAGGCCGAGACACGCGACGACACTCTAGGCGATGTGGAAGTCAAGGGACTGGTCGACACATTGGCTGAAACATTAGCAGAGTTGGAAACTAGGACACTTGCCGACACACTGGTCGATGTGGCAGTCGAGGCACCGGTCGACACATTGACTGAAAGGTTTGCAGAGATAAAAGCCGAGACACCTGATAAAACATTGGGCGTTGTGGAGGCCGAGGTACTGGTCGACAGATTAACTGACACGTTAGCAGAGGTGGAGGCCGAGACAAATGCCGAGACATTGGGTGATGTCAAGGCCAGGGTACTGGTGGACCCACTGGCTGACACATTAGCAGCGGTCAAGGCCGAGCCACTGGCCGACACAGTGGGCGATGTGGAGGCCGAGATACTGGTCGAGACATTGGCTAACACGTTAGTAGAAGTGAAGGATGAGACACTTGCCGACACACTAGGCAATTTGGAGATCAAGGCACTGGTCGACACATTGGCTGAAACGTTTGCAGAAATAGAGCCCGAGACACTTGCCAACAGAGTAGGCGATGTGGAGACCGAGGCACTGGTCGACACATTAGCTGACACGTTAGCAGAGGCAGAGGCCGAGACAGTTGCTGAGACATTGGGTGATGGGGAGGAAAAGGCACTGGTCGACTTATTGGCGGAAACATTAGCAGAGATAACGGCCGACACACTTGCAGATGCAGTGGGCAATGTGGAGGCAAGGGCACCTGTCGTCTCATTGGCTAACACGTTAGCAGCGGTGAAGGCTGAGACGCTTGTCGACACTGTGAGCGATCTGGAGGCAGAGGCACTGGTCGCCACGTAAGCTGGCACATTAGCAGAGATGAAGACTGAGACATTTGCCGACACACTGGGCGACGTGAAGGTCGATTGACTGGTCGACATATTGGCTGAAACGTTAGAAAATGAGGGGGGTGAAACACTTGCCAACACAGTGGACAATGTGGAGGCTGACACACTGGTCGACACATTGGGTGATGGAGAGGCCAAGTCACTGATGGACACATTAGCTGACACGTTAGCAGTGGTGGAGGCCGAGACATTTGCTGACACACTGGGCGATGTGATGGTCGAGTCACTGGTCGACACATTGGCTGAAACGTTAGAAGATGTGGAGGGTGAAACACTTGCCAACACAGTGGAGGATGTGGGGGCTGAGGCACTGGTCGAATCATTTGCTGACAAGTTAGTAGACGTGGAGGCCAAATCACTTGCCGACACATTTGGTGATAGGGAGGCCAAGGCACTGGTCGACTCGTTCGCTGACACATTAGCAGAGATAAAGGCCGACACACTTATCGACACGGTCGGTGATGTGGAGGCAGAGGCACTGGTCGATGCATTGGCTGACAGGTTAGAAGAGGTGAAGGCCGAGACACCTGCCGACACACTGGGCGATGTGGAGGTCGAGGCACTGGTCGATACGTTGGGTGACACGGTAGCAGAAGTTGAGGCCGAGACACTTGAAGACAAATTGGGTGGTCTGGAGGCAAGGGCACTGGTCGTCTCATTGGCTAACACTGTAGCAGCAGTGAAGGCCGAGACTCTTGTCGACACTGTGAGCGATGTAGCGGCAGAGGCACTGGTCGACACATTGGCTGACACGTTAGCAGAGGTGAAGACCGAGACATTTGCAGACAGACTGGGCGATGTGGAAGTCGAGGGACTGGTCGACCCATTGGCTGAAACGTTAGCAGATGTGGAGAGTGAAACACTAGTTAACACTGGGGGTGTATTGAAGGCCGAGCCGCCGGTCGACAGATTAGCTGACACGTTAGCAAAGGTGAAGGACGAGAGATTTGTCGAGACACTGGGCGATGTGGAGACCGAGACACTGATAGACGAATTGGCTGACAGCCCAGCAGAGGTGGGAGGCGAGATATTTGCCGGCACACTAAGCGATGTGGAGGTCGAGGCTTTGGTGGACACATAAGCTGACACGTTAGCAGAGGTGAAAGCCGGGACACTTGCCGACACAAACTGCGATATGGAGGTTGAGCCACACACTAAGTGACACACTTGAGAAGAGGTGGAGGCCGAGGCACTGGTCGATACACTGGAAGCCACACTAGCAGAGGTGAAGGCGGAGACACTTGTGGACTCACTGGGCGATGCGGAGGTCGAGGGACTGATAGACACACTGGATGACCCGATAGCAGAGGGGGAGGCTGTGGGTAGCAATTTGGAGGCGGACGCTGATCGACATACTAGGTGACACACTTGAGCAGACGTGGAAGCCGAGACAGTGGTCGACACATTGATTGACACGCTAACAGAGGTGGAGGTGGAGCTAGTTGCGGACACACTAAGTGGTGTGGAGGCCAAGGCAGGAGTCGACTCATTAGCTGACTCGTTAGCAGAGGTGAAGGCCGAAAGACTTGCCGACGCAGGGGGCAATGGGGACACGAGAGCAGAGGAGAGGGCCGAGACACTTGTCAAAACATTAGGCGATGGAGAGGCCGAGGCACGTTTCGACACATTGGCTGACACGTTAGCAGTCATGGAGGCCAAGACATTTGCCGACACATCGGGTGATGGGGAGGCCAAGGCACTGGTCGACTCATTGAATAACATGTTAGCAGAAATGAAGACCGATACACTTGCCGGCACACGGAGCGATTTGGAGGTCGAGACACCCCTAGACACATTGGCTGACACGTTAGGAGAGATGGAGGCCGAGACACTGGTCGATACATTGGCTGAAACGTTAGCCGATGTGGGGGATGAAACACTTTTCAACACAGTGGACGATGTGGACACATTGGCTGACACGTTAGCAGAGGTGAAGACTGAGACATTTGCCGACATACTGGGAGATGTGGAAGTCGAGGCAATGGACGACACATTGACTGACACGTTTGCAAAGGTGAAGGTAGACAAAGTTGCTGACGCAGTGGGCGATTTGGAGGCCGAGACACTTGTCGACTCAGTGGGCAATGTGGAGGCAGAGGCACTAGTCGAAACATTGGTTGACACATTAGCAGAGGTGAAGGCTGAGACACTTGCTGACACACTGGGCGAGAGGAAGGTCGAAGGACTGGTCGACACATTGGCTAACATGTTAGGAGAGGTTGAGGTTAAGACACTTGCCGAGACACTGGGAGATGTGGAGGTCGAGGCACGTGTCGACACACTAAGAAATGTGGAGGTTGAAACACTGGTCGACACATTTTCTGAAACGTTACGAGATGTGGAAAGTGAAACACTTCCCAACACAGTGGGCGAAGTAGAGGCAGAGGCGCTAGTCGACAGTTTAGCTGAGTTGTTAGCAGAGGTGAAGGCCGAGACAGTTGCCGACACACTGAGCGATGTGGAGGTCGTCGCACTGGGCGACACGTTGGCTGAAACGTTAGCAGATGTGGAAGGTGACCCACTTGCCAACACAGTGGGCGATGTGGAGGCCGAGGCGCTGGTCGACGCATTGGCTGACACGTTAGCAGAGTCGGAGGCCGAGACACTTGCTGAGACATTGGGTGATGGGGAGGAAAAGGCACTGGTCGATTTATTGGATGAACCATTAGCAGAGATAAAGGCCGACACGCTTGCAGACGCAGTGGGCAATGTGGAGGCAAGGGCACCTGTCGTCTCATTGGCTAACACGTTAGCAGCGGTGAAGGCTGAGACGCTTGTCGACACTGTGAGCGATCTGGAGGCAGAGGCACTGGTCGCCACATTGGCTGGCACATTAGCAGAGATGAAGACTGAGACATTTGCCGACACACTGGGCGATGTGAAGGTCGATTGACTGGTCGACATATTGGCTGAAACGTTAGAAAATGTGGGGGGTGAAACACTTGCCAACACAGTGGACAATGTGGAGGCTGACACACTGGTCGACACATTGGGTGATGGAGAGGCCAAGTCACTGATGGACACATTAGCTGACACGTTAGCAGTGGTGGAGGCCGAGACATTTGCTGACACACTGGGCGATGTGATGGTCGAGTCACTGGTCGACACATTGGCTGAAACGTTAGAAGATGTGGAGGGTGAAACACTTGCCAACACAGTGGAGGATGTGGGGGCTGAGGCACTGGTCGAATCATTTGCTGACAAGTTAGTAGACGTGGAGGCCAAATCACTTGCCGACACATTTGGTGATAGGGAGGCCAAGGCACTGGTCGACTCGTTCGCTGACACATTAGCAGAGATAAAGGCCGACACACTTATCGACACGGTCGGTGATGTGGAGGCAGAGGCACTGGTCGATGCATTGGCTGACAGGTTAGAAGAGGTGAAGGCCGAGACACCTGCCGACACACTGGGCGATGTGGAGGTCGAGGCACTGGTCGATACGTTGGGTGACACGGTAGCAGAAGTTGAGGCCGAGACACTTGAAGACAAATTGGGTGATGTGGAGGCAAGGGCACTGGTTGTCTCATTGGCTAACACGGTAGCAGCAGTGAAGGCCGAGACTCTTGTCGACACTGTGAGCGATGTAGCGGCAGAGGCACTGGTCGACACATTGGCTGACACGTTAGCAGAGGTGAAGACCGAGACATTTGCAGACAGACTGGGCGATGTGGAAGTCGAGGGACTGGTCGACCCATTGGCTGAAACGTTAGCAGATGTGGAGAGTGAAACACTAGTTAACACTGGGGGTGTTGTGAAGGCCGAGTCGCCGGTCGACAGATTAGCTGACACGTTAGCAAAGGTGAGGGACGAGAGATTTGTCGAGACACTGGGCGATGTGGAGACCGAGACACTGATAGACGAATTGGCTGACAGCCCAGCAGAGGTGGGAGGCGAGATATTTGCCGGCACACTAAGCGATGTGGAGGTCGAGGCTTTGGTGGACACATAAGCTGACACGTTAGCAGAGGTGAAAGCCGGGACACTTGCCGACACAAACTGCGATATGGAGGTTGAGCCACACAATAAGTGACACACTTGAGAAGAGGTGGAGGCCGAGGCACTGGTCGATACACTGGCAGCCACATTAGCAGAGATGAAGGCGGAGACACTTGTGGATTCACTGGGCGATGCGGAGGTCGAGGGACTGATAGACACACTGGATGACCCGATAGCAGAGGGGGAGGCTGTGGGTAGCAATTTGGAGGCGGACGCTGATCGACATACTAGGTGACACACTTGAGCAGACGTGGAAGCCGAGACAGTGGTCGACACATTGATTGACACGCTAACAGAGGTGGAGGTGGAGCTAGTTGCGGACACACTAAGTGGTGTGGAGGCCAAGGCAGGAGTCGACTCATTAGCTGACTCGTTAGCAGAGGTGAAGGCCGAAAGACTTGCCGACGCAGGGGGCAATGGGGACACGAGAGCAGAGGAGAAGGCCGAGACACTTGTTAACACATTAGGCGATGGAGAGGCCGAGGCACGTTTCGACACATTGGCTGACACGTTAGCAGTTTTGGAGGCCAAGACATTTGCCGACACATCAGGTGATTGGGAGTCCAAGGCACTGGTCGACTCACTGGCTAACACGTTAGCAGAGGTGAAGACCGAGACACTGGCCAACACACGGGGCGATTTGGAGGTCGAGACACTCCTCGACACTTTGGCTGAAACGTTAGCATAGGTGAAGGCCGAGGCACTCGTCGACTCAGTGGGCGAGGTGGAGGCAGAGGCACTGGGCGAAACATTGGTTAACACATTAGCAGAGGTTAAGGATGAGACACTTGCTGACACATTGGGCGATATGGAGGTCGAGCGGCTTGTCGACACATTGGCTGAAATGTTAGGAGAGGTTGAGGCCAAGACACTTACCGAGACACTGGGAGATGTGGAGGTCGAGGCACTTGTCGACACATTGGCTGACACGTTAGCAGAGGTGAAGACCGAGACATTTGCCGACACACTGGGCGACTTGGAGGTGGAGGCACTGGTCGACACATTGACTGAAACGTTAGCAGATGTGGAGAGTGAAACACTTGCCAACACCTTGGGTGATGTGAAGGCTGAGGCGCCGGTCGACAGATTAGCTGACACGTTAAGAAAGGTGAAGGACGAAAGACTTGCCGAAACACTGGGCGATGTATAGGGCGAGGCACTGGTCGACACATTGGCTGAAACTTTAGCAGATGTGGAGGATGAGACACTTTCCAACACAGTGGACGATGTGGAGGCCGAGGCACTGGTTGACAAATTAGGTGACACGTTAGCAGAGGTGTAGGCCGAGACACTCGCCGACACATTGGGTGATGGGGAGACCAACGCACTGGTCGACCCATTGGCTGACACTCTTGCTGACGCAGTGGGAGATTTGGAGGCCGAGGCACTGGTCGACTCAAATGCTGAAACGTTAGCAGAGGTGAAGGCCGAGACACTTGCTGACACATTTGGCGATGTGGAGGTCGAGGTGCTGGTCGACACATTGGCTGACACGTTAGGAGAGGTTGCGGCCGAGACACTTGTTGACACACTGGGCGACGTGGAGGTCGAGGCGCTGGGCGACACTTTGGCTGACAGGTTAGCAATGGTTGAGGCCGAGACACTTGCCGACACATTGGGTGATGTGGAGGGCAAGGCACTGGTCGACTCACTGGCTAACACGGTAGCAGAGGTGAAGGCCGAGACACTTGTAGACACATTAGGTGATGTGGAGGCCCAGGCACGTTTCGACACATTGGCTGACACGTTAAGAGAGGTGAAGGCCGAGACACTCGCCGAAACATCGGATGATGTGGAGGCCAAGACACTGGTCGATGCACTGGCTGAAACATTAGCAGTGGAGGAATGAATGAATGAACAACTTTATTAACGTGTCAAAATTTTCTAGGTGGCCACAAGCAGCCTACTAATCGGGGACACCTAGTTAATAAAATCTGTTTAATAAGCTTAAGATTACATTTGAGAATATTAACAATAAATATTCACTACAAAATTACATTAACATCGTTAACATATTTCTATAAACGTGAATAAATAAATAGATAATAATAACGATAAAATAGTCTACATTCTAAATAATCTAAAAGTAAATTATCAAAACGGTCTCGAGTACTACACAAGTTAGAATTTCAACATTTGTTCTCAGCTATGAAACTTGAAAAGACTTTCTTGCCAATACTTGTTTTGAAAGCCTATAATGTGGCTAGGTCCCTGTCCTTGTGTCTGCCGTATTTTACGGTATTGAATCTAGGAATAAAGAAGTCTGAATTTCGTAAGTTATGACTTGACAATGACACGCTGAGGATTGCGATATCCTGCAGGCGCCTATTGTAAAGACTAGTCATCCGTGCACGCGTAAGTAACTCATCATATGATCATGTCCAATTGCAAAATACAGCCGCAGACCCCGTTCATTGACCCTCTCAAGCTTTCTCCGGTCTGAGCCTCTACAAAAGTCCCAAACGAGGCTGCAGTATGTCTGATATCGCAAAATGGCGGCCTTGTATATTCTTAATTTCACTTTCTTACAAGCTGAAGATATACGGTTACTAAACAACAAGTTCCTGTCAATTAAAAGGCCTAAAAGATTACGTCTATCCATTGGCTGTACTATGAAAGTGTCAATTTCGACATCACGCTGGGTAGCATTTGATAGAAGGAATTATAGGCAATTAATCATGTTGTGAAAAGACATTCTTATTTGAAATGATTTTTGGGCAGTTTTTCTTTGGATTAGAAAGTGTTTGCAAGTTAGGAAGTTAGTGTTGATTTCGTTTGTAGGTATGTATGAGTTGAGCGGCTTTCTGTTACATTAAAAGGGAGTAATTTTCTTTTGTTGGCCCTATATAATTTTGTATTTCATGGGGTTCGATCAAGTATTTTGTAAGGCAAAACGTCCACTTTGGAACTTCTGTTACCTACACAGCTTGACATTCATAATAACACATGGATACTCTTGATTATATTTAACTATATTATATTGCTATATACATTTGAAAATGTAGTGCCTTTAGTTTGAAATCGTTGTGAAATCTCAAAGCATTACTTGTACGATGGTACAGATGGACACTGAGACTGTTTTTGCTATTCGATAAATGAATTTTAGAAAACGATTGTAAGTAAATAAATACAACATTTTAACACATTTCTTTACATGATCTGTTTTCGAATAGAACTACGATTACGAAAGAGGAAAGGGCTTTCTTCTTTGTCGTACTTGTTGTCGGTGCTTAGCTACTTTCCTCCAGCTCTCCTTGAAAAGCTTGTGATTTTCAATTTCTTTTTTACTTTCTTACTCTGGCTACCAATGAGATACATTAATTGGCCTCTTTCGATCAGATTTTAGTTTGTTAAAGAAGACCTCGTCATGATCCAACTAAAAGTTGGCCAGCACTAAAAGACCCCTACACCTTGTTTACTAAAAGTAATTTTAAAGGACCAGAAAACATACATTTCACCTTTTAAAACAATCTACGCTAAAACGAAATGTATTTTCAGCTGTTATTTTTGCTACGTTTTCCTAAATTTGCGGTTTAAAAGTTTGTTTTTGCTATTTTCAAAGAAAGGCAGAACAGAAAGGCAACTGAGGCAACTGGGAATAGGACCCACAATTTCCTCGTTTATAAGATCCCGGTGAACGTAATCCTTAAAAGGACTTTCGTTGACAGTGACTGATGTTTGGAACACCTTGAGGTAGTCATCTTCAGAGTCAGTGAGTTGTATCATGTCAGTTGATGGTATTAAACTCTGCTTATTCACCTGATTGGTCAGTTAAGTCGCGATGTCATTGGTCTTCTGTCAGTTAAGCCGTGATGCTATTGGCTGTGATGTCATTGGTGCATAATTTTTGCTCAAATTTTATTTACCCTTAAACAGCCCGGTAAAGTTTCACCTGATAAGGTCTTGTTTGTACTACATAAAATACCAGAATCATTATGATTTACTTTTTGAGAATGAAATATGAACTCAGCACAAAAGTATGAATGAAGGGGTATAATTTCTAGGATATACCATTTAAATCCGAGGCCCCATAAACACACTTATTTGGATAAATTTAAAACGGCATCTTTCTTCTGGGTTTGACCTAAACAGATATAATGAACCCATTCCTTACACAACGCTATCAGAGAAAACACTCGATTAATTTTAAAAGTGTTGTCGAAATTACCTTTTCCATCGGTGACACTTGTGGACCCTCTAGTTGACAAGTTAGCAGACATCGAGGTAGAGTCACTGGGCGTTAAACTTGTGAGGGTGAATGCCGAGACACTTAAAGAGAAACCACCTGATGGCGAGATAGCAGGAGTAGAATTCGAGAAACGGAGCGTCACAATAGCCTCGGTAAACGCCGAGACACTTGGTATTGCACTTGTTGGAAAGTTAGAAGAATTAGTGATCGAGTTACTGGCCATGACACTGGCCCGGAAGAGTCCAAGACACTTCGCACCGACCTGGTTGATAAGTTAGCTGACGTAAAGGTTGAATCACTAAGCGTGGAAATGATCGGTGAGACCAAGACACTTGGTAACACTTGGTCGACAAGTTAGAGGTGTTGGAGGTGGATTCATAGGGTGCAACAATTATCGAGGTGGAGACCGAGGTGATTCACGAATCTCTGCCTGACAAGGTAGCAGAGGACGTAATCGAGGCACTGGGTACGATAATCGTCGCGTTAGAGTCTGAGACACTTGACGACACCTTTGTCGATAAGTAAGCAGGCGAAAAAAGGCCAAATAACTGGGCATGGAATTTGTCGGAGCAGAGCCCGAGACACTTAACGACACACTGGTTGACAAGGTAGCAGGGGTAAAGGTAGAATCATTGGACCTAACACTTATGAGAGTGAAAGCCAGGACACTTCGTGCCACACTGGTTGACAGGTAAGCAGTAGAAGTCAAAGAACTGGGCGTCATACTGGTCGGGGAAGAGGCCGAGACACTAAGCGAGAAACTGTTCGACAAAATAGCTGAGGAAGAAATAGAGCTAATAGGGGTCAAACTAATGGATGTAGAAGCGGAGACACTTAGCAGCACACTGCTTAACAAGTTAAAAAATAGACTTAGAGTTGCTGTTCTTGAAACTGTTCGAGGTTGATGACGAGACAATTGGTGATGCACTAGTTGACAGGTCACCTGATATAGAGGTCGAGCTAATCGGCGTCAAATGGATAGATGGAAACGTCGAGAGATTTGGCGAGGCACTACTTACCAAGTTACCTGACGTAAAGGTCGAGTTACTGGGTGCCACACTGCTGTCCGGGGTAAAAGCTGAGACACCTGGAAAAGCACCAGGTACAACTGTTACAGATGTAAGCACAGAGATGGTGCTCATCAAACGAGGGAGGGTAGATACCAAGACACTTGATGATGCACTGCTTGACACGTTAGAAGAGGAAGTTGTCGAGTTACTCTGCATACGACTGGAGGCCAAGACACTTGACGACGCAACGGTTGATAAGTTTGCAAAAGTAGAGTTCGAGTTGGTATTCGTGAGACTGATTGATGATGGTGTCCGGGCAACTAGTGACGTACTAGTTGAAAAGCGATCTGAGGTAGAGGCCGAGAGACTAAGCAACATACTGGTCGGTTTGAATGCCGGGACACTTGGCAATGCAACGTTTGACGAGAAAGTAGAGGGACAGCTGAAGTTACTGGACGTAATTCTGAACGATGTTGAGAAAGACATACTTAGTGACGCACTGGGGAACAAGTTAGTTCAGGTGGAGGTCGAGTTTCTAGTCGCTGAGCTCGTCTTTGAGGAATTCAAGACACTAGGCGACGCAGTAGCTGACGGGTAAACAGGTGCAAAAGTTGAGTTGCCCTTTGTCAAAATGATCGGGGTTGATGTCGATTCACTTTGAGACGACCTGGTTGACAAGTTGGACGAGGCTGAGGGCAAGTTTCTGGGCGTCAAAGTACTCGATGTGGTGGCCGATACATTTGGCAAAACAATGGTTGATAATTTAGCTGAGGCAGAAGTCAAGCTCCTGGGCTCCAAACCAGTAACTTTGAATACCGAGACAGTTGGCGAGGCACTCGATGAAAGGCTAGTTAAGGTAGAGGTCAAGTTGCTAGGGGTCAAACTGGGCGATGTTGAGGACAAAACAGTAGTAGCAGTTGATGTCGTGACATTTTGTGACGCTATGATTGAAATGTTAGTAGAAAAGGAGGACGAATTACTTTGAGTGACGCTGATCAAGCTAGAGGCCAATACACTAGACAAAACACTGAGAGTCTTTGCTGAGTTTTTGGTTGTCACACTGATTCAGGTAATGGCCGAGATACCTGGCAAACCAGTGGTTGAATAGGTTGCAGATGTAGAGGTAAGGATGGTGGTCATGAAACGTGGTAGGGTAGATACCAAGATACTTGATGACGCACTGGTTGACAGGTTATCAGAGGAAGTGGGTGCGCTTCTCTGAATAAAACTCTAGGCCGAGACACCTAGCGACGTATCGCTTGATACGTTTGCAAAAAGTACTGGGATTCTTTGCTGAGGCAAAGAGTGAGTTTTTGGGTGTCACACTGATTGGGGTAACAGCCGAGGTACCGAGAAAACCAGTGGTTGAATAGGTAGCAGATGTAGAGGTAGAGGTGGTGCTCATCAAACGCAGGCGGGTAGATACTAAGACACTTGATGATGCTCTGGTTGACAAGTGACCTGAGGTCTAGGGCGAGTTACTGGGTGTCGCAATGGCCAGGGTAAAGGCTGAGACACTTAGCAAAGTACTGGTTGAAAAGTTAGGATATGTAGTGGTCGAGTTGTCGTTCGTCAAACGTGCTGTCAAACTTGTCGGGGTTGATGATGAGAACCTCGGTGACGCA